CCCGGCCAACCGCTCCGCGGCTGGACACACACAGGAAGACGGGGCTGCCCCACTCATCCCGTGAGCTCCTGGTTTGGGGTGATCCCCAGAGAAGGACGGGAAGGGGGCCCCTGCCCACCACTACCACTCTCACACCAGCTTAAGTCACACGGAAAGAAGGAGCACGGGAAGGAAGCTACTTTAAAACCACTGCCAGCAGAACACCTTCCCTGTTACCTTGGCCCTTTTGGCACCAAACTGTCTCCTGACAACCCCGTCACGTTAACCAACAAAACAATGCCACAGAATAGAGGAAGGAGGGAGGAGGGGAGAGAGGATGCTACTGCCATGACTTGCTTTCCCCTTCCCACCAGGATTCCTCAGCAGTAGGGAGCAGGCCTACCCTAACGTCACTTCCGAGCTGCTTGACCACGAGCCACCTCGTCAGGCAGGGGGACAGCTGGTGTTTAGCCTCAGGACAACCTGCAGAGCAAGAGGTCCTGCCCCGGCCTGCAGCTGCCCGGCCCCGCGGGGAACAAGGCTCCCGCTCCGGATCCTTTGCCACCGCGCGAGGCCAGCGCCGCGAATAACGACTACAGCAAAGTGGCCATGAGGAATCGTTTGCCTGCCATCCAGCCCATCTCCTCCTCTCCTCCATCACCTCCAGCTTTGATGAGACAAAACAAGAAAGTTCTCCCCTTCAAGCAGATGCTAGTGCTCTGCTTTCCCAGCGTCCTGGGGTGGGACTGAGAGCTCCCCAGACGTTAGCTGCTTCTCCTCTGGCATCTCAGTGTGGCTCAGGGATGGCGCAGGGACCTGGAGAGAGAAGACAGCAGTGACTTGCATGAACACCCCGCCACGCAGAGCATCTGTTCGAGCACACAGACACAGCCCCGCTGCCCGGCTCCTGCCTCTGCTCCACCAGGCAGAGGTCGCAGCTGAGCTTGGGAAAAGGAGAAACCGGGGGCCACCAAACAGGCAAAAGAGCAGCTTCATGGAGATCTGGAGTGCTGGAATGCTCCACCAGAAGTGGTCCGGGCTGTTTCCACCAAGGAAACAGCAGCTCATGCCCAAGCAGGAGTAGGCCCAGCCATTTCCCATTGTGTTCATGGAATACTTCAAGTGGGAAGGGCACTCTGGATGTCTCCTGTCCAACCCTACCCTTGAAGTGGGGCTAATGTCAAAGAAAGAGCAGGCTGCTTGGGGCCACAGCCTGTGGGGCAACGGCTTTCTCTAGGGATGGAGATCTCAGACCTGCAGGGCAACCCTTCAGCTTCCAGTCAGTGCCAAAACAAGACACCTGCAGCCTCCCAGCGCTCCTCAACCCCTCCCAGCCTCCTTAGGTGCCAGCTCCCGGGTGCTCTCACGGCAGGACTGACATCTCCAAAACCGCAGCCAGCTGGGATTTCCTTTGAGGAAATCAAGAGCCGCTGCTTTCCTGCTCAGAGCACAACAGCTTTTCGTGGGCAGCCTCCCCACGATGCCCTCAAGCCTCGCTTTGCTGCTG